TGATGAAGCTGCTGAATTATTTAATTTATATCATGGTTATACAATGTTTGCTGTTGGACATGGATTGAAAGCCTTGTTGATGAAATTCTCGATGGGTCATCAGATGGCAACAATTATTACTCATCCGATCATGGTGGGTATTCATAGGGTTGGATGTGATCTTTCCAATACTAGAGAATGGAAAGAAGAGTTGGGAAAGGTTATTACTTTGAATGGAATGTTTGGAGGATTATTTAGAGGAATTATTCCACAATTAATTGCCAATTATTTGGTGAATATTGTGAATAGAAGTAATGTTTTTAATGGATTGGTGATTCCTGGAATTTCTTATTATCCTTTTCTTGGGGAAATTTTCCCATTTGTGAAGAGAGTAATGATTGGAGTGGCTGCTGGTTTAGTTAGCTATCCATTTACAACTTTATCTTTGAGAATGCAAATGAATCCTGAAGTGGCAATGGGTGATATTATTTCAGAAATGACCAATGAAGGAATATCTGGAATATATGCTGGATTTGCCACTCATCTTGTTGCTAATATTCTCACTGCTGTTTTACACAAATTCTTGGATTTGGTTATTAGAAAACCACTCAAGACACAGAGATACTATTAATTATTAGTATCATTACGCATTTCACTATTGGATCAATTAATGGGTGACAAGGAGGAATCGATATCATTAAAATTGATGGATGAATTTAAAAATCTTTATTGAAATACTGATTAGAATGTGATCAACTTTTAGAATTTCACTTTAACAAAATATTAATTTTATTTGTAATTGGAAGCAACAATCATTTTAACATTGATTTAAATCTTTACGAAACTGCTGCATCCATTCATCTGTGACTGTTTGTGTAATGGCATTTGTTAAAACTTGTTTGACATTTCCCGGGATAAGCATTGCAAATGTGTCATTAAGAAGCAAGTTAATACCATCTAAGGTCGATTTTGGTTTTCTTTTCTTGTTAAAAAAACCACGAATTTGCCTGATTAATCTATCATTTAAAATTTTCATGGCCATTCTTTCAGTAATTATTAAATTTGTCTCAGTGGTCAGGTGGAAATGCAAAGTAGTGATTGAAGTGATGTCCTTGTCTTGATACTTTCTTAACCATACTAAATACGAAGTGCCAAAACATTTTTGCATAATATAGGACAAACACATTTTTTCAAAGGTTACCTTAATATCATCAGGGTCCTTTGCGTTCTGATAGAGAACATAATACTTCAATCTCCATCTTTTAGAATTGTCTCTACAATAAACACAAAGATCACAATCACAAGAATAGTTTCTTTTCTTATCCCATTCGATTGGACCAAAACTGAAAGCCTTCAAAAAACTGTCTATCGCACCTCTTATTGTCTTGGATTGGGCAAATAGAACTTTACCATTGCCTATTGCAGTTTGGATAGTATTTCTAATTGTTTCTATTAATTTAGTAACATCGAGTGTGACAGAACAGTCCTTCTGATCCTTAATACACCCAATCAATTCAACCTCGACAGCCGCTTTTTTCAAGTTCTCATGTTTTGATAATGTTTGAAAATTCCAACATTGATTCATTGTCGTCTTAATGGAAGCGTAATAATCATAGGTAAGTTTTGGCTCACTATAGTTTTCTACTATGGTTCTGAATACAGCCGTAGATAAAATATGATCAGCAGCCTGATCAGTATTCAATTGTTTCATATCTCTAAATTTTTGCTGGGCACCTCCGTTTCTGAAGAAATGGTTTGGTTTCTCTGTTTTTCCTGTTAAATTATAATATTTGCCTATCACATCAAAAAATTCTTGCATTGAAAGAGAAACTTTATGGTCCTTACATCCATATCTTACATATTCCTGTATTTCTTCGTTGTTGGATGTTTGGAGAGCACTGGCTAGCTCCCGCAAATTAATATTGATCAGTTTTTCCATGAAGAAAGCAGTTTCAATATTTTTTTCGATAAATTTTTTTGCTGTTATTATGTCTAACAATTTGATTTTAAT